GTTTGGGGAGGATGTTGAGGGGCTGCAGCGTGTCCAGAGAAGGGCAACGAGGCTGGGGAAGGGGCTGGAGCACAAGTGCTGGGAGGAGCAGCTGAGGGAGCTGGGGGGGCTCAGCCTGGACAGGAGGAGGCTCAGGGGGGACCTTCTCACTCTCTGCCACCCCCTGACAGGAGGGGGAGCCGGGGGGGGTCGGGCTCTGCTCCCAGGAACCAGCAGCAGGACAAGAGGGCACAGCCTTGAGCTGCCGCAGGGGAGGTTTAGGATGGACATTGGGAAGTTCTTCCCAGAGAGAGGGATCAGCCACTGGAAGGGGCTGCCCAGGGAGGGGGTGGAGTCCCCGTCCCTGGAGGGGTTTAATTGGCCCAATTAAAGTGGACGGTTGCTCATTTCAAAATCGAGGACAAATCACACCTAAGCCACGTTTTGCTGTATTTGTAACCCATTATTCAACATTAACAATCCCATTATGCATCTCCAGCAACTGGCTTTAATGGAGGATTTGCAGGTCTTGCTTCTCTGAGTTGCTCTGGTGAAATGAGCTTTTCATCCTTGTCTCTCCGCAGGGAAACAGAGATGAGGGAACATTTGTGGATGAGACCCTTGCTCAGCAAGATGCTCAGGTGTGTGGCAGTCTGTTCCTTGCAGGAGCTGTTGGGTTTGTCCGTGTGATCCCTGCTGCAGCCCTGCTTTGTCAGGACCTTGATTTCTTTCAAGGGAGATGAGGAAGCCTGAACTGTGCTGGACAGCAGCCCCAGGTGGAAACCAGATGGGATATGAGGAAAAATGTGTTGTCCAGCCCAGGGCAGAGGTGGAGTCCCCATCCTGTGGGGATTTAACAGCCATGGGGACATGGGTCAGTGCTGGGGGAACAGTTGGACTCAATGATCCCACAGGGCTTTTCCAACCCTAATGATTCTATGGAGTAGAAACCTCCTGATGGGCACGTGGTCTTCTCAATCAGCCTCATTTTGTCTCTTCATAATGTCTTCAAGTGCCTGTATGAAGCTGGGGAGAAGAAATGGGGAACAGATGAGGTGCAGTTCATGTCCATCCTCTGCACACGGAACAGGTGCCACCTGCTGAGAGGTAGGACCTCTGGGATGTCCTGGACTTCTATTCCTTGTGTGAGGACAGTGCTTTTGGAGGAGCTTTGTGCTTGTTCAGCAACTGATTGTGACCCTTTCCTAAAACAACAGGTATCATCAGGGCCAGTTCCATTCAATTCTTTTAGGCTGCTTTAGTCCCTCCTGAGACAAAAAGAGATAAACATCCCTGCAACTTGCTCCAACCTGTAAATCTGAGAAAATGAAGAGTGACTCCCATGGGGCAGAGCCAGGCATGGGCACTGCCTTCATTAACCAGCAGTTCTTGAAAATCCTTGCAGCAGTGGTAGGGCAATTAGCAAGAGAGCTGCTAATTAAAATGAGTTATTTCTGAGGGGCAGCCCTGATTTAACTTACAGTGTCACGATAATGGTGCAATGTTCATACAGAGCAGGAGGAGCTTGATCTTGCAAAGTGATCCCCGGGGTTTACACACTGTGTGCCCTGGAGCAGCTCACTGGCTCCTTTTATCCCCCCCTCTTCCTCCTAGTTTTTGATGTGTACAGAGGGATTGCTAATAAGGACATCACAGAGAGCATCAAATCCGAGATGTCAGGAGACCTCGAGGACGCTTTGTTAGCTGTGGGTGAGTTCCCTGCTTTTAAACTTTGTCTACAAACTGATTAAATAATTAAAGACCCCGTCTCTTGCCCTGGCTGTTTACACAGCTTCAGGAGGCAGATACTGTCTGTCTTTTTTTTACAAGCCACAGTGCTTTAATCTTTGCAGATAAAACCTGGGAAGAAGGCTCTGTGCTTTATTTTTCTTTCCCAAGGGATGCTTTGGGAGCTGACATTTGCTGTCAGGAAGCTTTAAAGCCTTAAAAATATTTTATTACTGCGCACTGAGCATGGAGACATCAGTTGACAGCAGGTCACTGGATGTCTGCACTGTGCTTGCTGACTTGCATCTTTACAGAGTAAACACCTGCACTGAGAAAGGGCTGGAAGGGTTTGGAAGATCTTGTCCTTCAGGGTTTGTTTGCCTTACTTCTCCTGTTCTTGTCCCCCTTGCAGTGAAGTGCATGCGGAATAAACCTGCGTATTTTGCTGAAAGATTGTACAAATCCATGAAGGTAAAGGAGATTGGTATTTCCCCCCCTGCCTTTCCATGCTTGAATCAGTAGCATGACAGCAATCATTACAGAAAGAAACTCTGTGTTAACTGGGGGGAATCTGAGCTTTCCTATGGGACCTCCTTTCCCTCAGGAAGCCCAGAGCTGGTGGTGGATCACTGCATTAATGGAAAAATGCTCTAATTAGGAACAGATCCTGCAGAAAGCTGAGTGATCAGACCTTTGTGTCTGTCACTGAGCTGCCCAAAGTGCCTTGCAGCTGAGGCTGGTTGCTCTGTTTCCCAGGGCTTGGGCACAGATGACAGCACGCTGATCCGGGTGATGGTGTCCCGCTCGGAAATAGATATGCTGTACATCCGGAGGGAATTCCTGTCCATGTATGGCAAATCACTCCACTCCTTCATTAAGGTAAGCTCTGCAATGTTAGAGACACAGGAGACACCTCTGGGGTATTTTAGAGGGAGTGGAATTAAGGAGGCTTTACCTTTATGTACTGAAAACATCCCTGAGTGTTCTTGGTTATTAAATTGTCGAAGGGGATTCAAACCCTACAACAAATCCTATGTGCTGGAAGGAGTCCTGCCTTGTATGGAGCTGTAAAATTAATTGTGTTCCTTTTCTCTGCTCTCTCTAGGGAGATTGCTCAGGAGACTACAGGAAAGTTCTGCTCAGACTCTGTGGTGGGGAGGATTAAAGGAGGCCTGGGGGACTGTCTGGGTGAGGGGAAGCAGCTGATCATAGAATTGTTTAGGTTGGAAAAGATCTTTAAGATCAGCCAGCCCAATAATTATTTCTTTCATGTATTTTTTTTCCCAAATACCTTGTTAATTGCTCTGATTTTTGCCTTAGGTTAGTTCATGCTCTGGTTGGTAATGGCCATTCTGGTTGACCATGGCCAATCTGCTTTTATGCTTGGCACACCCATTTGCCTACTAATTGGGCTGGTAAAGCCCAGCTTAACCAGAATGCTGTAACCAAAGATAGGAAAGCTAAATTGTTTCCTCACCAGATGCCCCTTTGCTGTTGTGTTCACCAGCAAAACACGTCAACTGAAGCAAACCTGGATGCAGAGTGTGAGAGGCTGCCCAGGGGAAAACTAACCCATCAGTACATGGAGAGTGCAGAACACAGCCTTGCTTCAGTTTATTGAGATAATTAAGACACAAAGAATCAGAATATCTAAAATGCAAGCACGTTTAAGTCTTAACTTGCCCTCTGTTAGTGTGGAGCATTAACAGCCTGGCTGCACTGTATGTGTGTGTTGCCCAGAGGTCTGTTCGTGGGGAAGATGTCACTGGTGACATCAGAAAAGCCTCCTGCTGCCCTGGTCAGAGCAGCCCCGTGTGCTTGGTCTGTCTTCTTCACTCATGGGAGTATAAATAATAATGGTTATGTTACAAAGCCTCCTCTGGATAAAGTGATGTCACTGGAATGGTGCCTTTTAGGGAGTGACCTGTCCCTCATCGGCCTGGTGCTGGGGCAGCTCCCCAGATCTCCCGGGGGCAACTGTCCAAATCTCCCAGGGTCAGCTCCCCAGATGTCCCTGGGACACCTCCCCAGTCTCCCCCACGTGCTGGCTCCAGCCCCACATCACAGGATCATCAGGGTGTTTGTGCCTGGGTCTCACCTGGGCTTCCACACCAACCTCTGGGAGAGACATTTTCCCCAGCCCCTCCACACCTGCCTGTTCACCTGAGCGCTGTTTTCACTACAAAAACAGGGTTCTTGTTTGGCTTAGCCACTTATTTTTTACTGCTGGGGAATAATCCTGTTCTGAAGGATCAGACTGATGTTGGAATGTCCAGCTGAAACACTGAGGTGGCTGCACCCAGTTCCATCACTCATTTTCCTCTGAAAAAGAGGCTGGAATAGGAGATGCCTCTGTGGCCTTCAATAAAATAGTTTTCTTTCTCACTCCTTGGGCTGCCAGTGGAGAAACATTCCTGACTTTTGCTGGGGGAGGAGGCGGAGCTTTATCCAGCTCTCCCAAGGCCTCTGCTCAGGACAGGGAAGTGTCCATGCCCAGCACAGGGGCTGCCGAAGGTGCTTGGGTGGGGAGTGGGTTCCAGTGCCTTGTGTCAGGTTGCTGAGCTTTGAAAAATGAATAAAGAAATTTGTTTCTGTACTTCCTGCCCCGGTGGCGTGTCCTGCCCGGACTCCTGTCCTGCTGTGCCCCAAAAACCCTAGGGAGCTTCAAGCCCTGCTGTGCCCCAAAAACCCTAGGGAGCTTCAAGCCCCCCGAAGCCCCTGGGGATCTTCGAACCCCCCAAAGCCCTTCTCGCCCCCCTCTTTCCCACCTGCTCTGCCCTCTCTGCCCTCTTTGCCCTCTCTGCCCTCTTTGCCCTGGTCTTCAGCAGCGCTGCTCCACACACTGCCGAGGATTTCACTCAATCCGCATGAAATGCCACACGAATTGAGAGGCTCCCATCTACCCTGGTAATTAATTTATACAGAAGCTGCTTGGGGGATTTTAAATGCTCACCCCTTCTGCTTCTCCCTGTTCCGAAGATCCCAGGGGAATTCACCCAGTGCTGGCAGTGGGATGTTTGGAGATGGGAGGCTCCGGACATGGTGCCACATCTCGGTCACCGAACTCTTATGGAAACTTCCCAGCCTGGCCATTCCTGAGGCTCTCTGGCCATCACGCTCCCAACACCAGAGACTTCCACTGCTGGGGCTGGAGCCCAGGGCCTGATCTTACCCTTTGAGTGTGTCATTACTGGAGTGTTGCAAATGGTGGGAAGAATCCCACGTTTTGCAGAGGAGGGGATCATGTGGTGTTCCGGGCTCTGGCAGAGCCTGGGTCCTGCAGCCTAATGAACCCATCCAGCAGGAAGTGTCTGATCCCTGGAGAACCCCCTGGGGTGGGCAGCAAAATTTCAGTTCAAGGGGCAGGAAAAGGCCCATTCCTGGATCAGGAAATGCCTGTTCATGGGTCAGGAAAAGGCCCATCCCTGGGTTGGGAAAAGATCCCATCCTGGGGTGGGAAAAGGCACGTTCAGGGTCAGGAAAAAGCCCATTCCTGGGTCTGGAAAAGGCACATTCAGGGGCACAAAAAGGTCCATTCCTGGGTCGGGAAAAGGCCCGCTCAGGGGCAGAGAAAGGTCTGTTTGTGAGGCACGAGAAGGCCCATTCCCGGAGCACAAAAAAGGCCCATTCCTGGAACACAAAAATGTCTATTCCCGGGTTGGGAAAAGGCCCGCTCAGGGGCAGAAAAAGGCCCGTTCCTGGGTCAGGAAAGGCCCTCCAGGGGCACGAAAAGGCCCGCTAGGGGCAGGAAATGTTCCCGGTCCCGGGTCAGGAAAAGGCCTGTTCCTGGATCAAGAAATGGATTCCCATTCAGGGTCAGTAAAAGGCCCGTTCCCGGATGGCAAAAGGCCCGTTGAGGGCACGAATGTTCCCGTTCCCAGGTCGGGAAAAGGCCCATTCAGGATCAGGAAAAGGCCCGCTCAGGGGCAGGAATGTTCCCGTCCCCGGCCAGCACGGGGCCCGTTAGGGGCAGGAACTGTTCCCGTTCCCGTTCCCGGCCAGCACAGGGCCCGTCAGGGGCAGGATCTGTTCCCGTTCCCGTTCCCGGCCAGCACGGGGCCCGTCAGGGGCAGGAACTGTTGCCGTTCCCGTTCCCGGCCAGCACGGGGCCCGTCAGGGGCAGGAACTGTTCCCGTTCCCGGCAAGCCCGTCCGGGGCGGTCGGGCCGCGCAGGCGCAGGCGGTGCGGGGGTCGCTGCCGGTGCCGCTGCCGATCCCGCTCCGGCCCCGCTCGGCGCGGCCTCATGAGGGGGCCGGGCCGGCCATGGGCGCCCTGGGCAGCCGCGTCCTGCGGCGGAGGGGGCCCGTCCCGCGGGGCGAGGCGGCGGCGGCGGGCAGGGCCGGCAGGAACGGCAAGAGGAAGCGCGGCGGGGCCGCCGAGGGGCCCGGGGACAGCGACAGCGACGGCGACACCGAGCGGGACGAGCGGCTGCTGCACCCGCGGGGCCGCAGGTCCGGGGGCCGCGGGGACCCGGGCGGGGGGGACGGGGGGGATGGCACGGCGGGCACATCCCCGCCCCGCTCGGGAAGGGCTATCGAGGCCCTCTGGGTTTAGTTCTTGGAGTTATCGTGTCCAGAATTCTTTTTTTGTTGTTGTTTTGTTGTTGTTGTTTTGTTTGTTTGTTCCCCCCCCCCCATTTCCCCCTCAGATTTCCCCGAATTTCACCGCTTTTCCACATTTCCCCGGGTTTCTTTACGTTCGCTCTATTTTTTTTTCCCCCCCAATTTCCCAACGTTTCCCCCGAAATTTCACCAGTTCCCTCAAATTCTCCAAATCTTCCCCTTCAAGTTTAGCAAAGCTTCCACACCTTAATCCAAACTTGCTGTAATTTTCCCCAAATGTACCCAATTTTATGAATTTCCCCCCAGATTTCCCCATTTTCCCAAATGTGCCCCAAACTTCCCCGTTTTTGGCCCACATTCCCGCGTGTTTGCTCAAATTTCTTCATTTCCCCCTAAATTTCCCTAATTTTTCCTCAAACTGCCCCATTTTCTCAGAATTTTCCCAAAATATTCCCATTTTCACCAGAATCTCCTCATTTCTGCTTCAAATCACCCTAAATTTCATCAGCTTTACCAAATTTCCTAATTTGATGAAATTTGGAGAAACGTGGAGAATATTTTGAGAATGCCTTGGAATTCTGGGAAATACTGGATTTCCAGGGGGATTTGGGGCCAATTTATCTCCTTTTTGGGCCCATTTGGTTGAATTTCACAGTATTTCAGCACATTTTGGGCAAACGGTGGCACAGGCAGGGAGTGGGGAGGTGGTGCCAGCCTGGGGGGGGGACGTGGCAGGAAAAACCCTCTGAGGGTTTTCTGTTGCTGCTGTTGGAAGGAGTGTCTCACTGTTTGGTTTGGGGATTTTTTTTTTCACTAGGAAAAAATTGAAAAGCACATCGAAGTACATTTATCAGACTCTGTTTCTGAATGGGGAGAACAGTGATGTCAAAATCTGTGCGCTGGGAGAGGAGTGGAACTTGCACAAGATTTACTTGTGTCAGGTAAGTGGCTCCTTTCTAAATCCCAGTAGGAACTGTGCTTTTAGTAAAATAACGTCTGGGAACTGAGCAGTGTGACTGGAGTTTGTTTTTTTTTTTTTCCCCCCTCACATTTAGGACTTCCACTCTTTTTGTAGATGCAACCAGTTAACCAGCTCCTGTTAGCAGGGTTGGGGAGCAGAGCTCTATCTTTGTGTTTGAAAAGCTTCTCTCTCTTCCTGTGTAATTTTTTTTTTTAATTCTATTTAATTTACTTTATTCTTAGTCTCGGTGCATTCTCTGTGAAAACAGTCCTGAACTTTGTCTTTGGTGTCCTGAGAACATGTTCCTGTTTGCTGATGAGGTGGCTGAGTGGCTCTTGTGGTGTGAATATCCCATCAGGGCAGAGGAGGCACTTGCAGATGGGGTTTGTAAAGCCTGTGGTGCCCCAGTTCAGTTCTCCTGTGCCCCGGGCTCAGGTGCAGGGACCTGCAGGGAACTCGGTGGTGCTGGGTCTCTGTGGCTGTTCTTTGGTTGTTGTGAGCCCTCGTGGAAGGATTTCCTGCAGCTGCCTGAGGAGGGTTTGCACAGGAGCTCCAGAGAGGAGTAAAGTGTGTCCCGAGTTTGTGGAGCTGCTCCTGAAACCTTTGAGTGGGTCGGTGGCTGGAATTGGTTGTGAAATCCCCTCTGTGGATGCAGCTGCGAGGCAGGGTCTGAAAGCTGGGACTTTGTTCTGCAGAGGCCTCGTTGTAGGAGAGATGTTTTTTGGGAGAGCAGCCTCGGGGCAGTTCACCGTTCTCATCAGGCAGGTCCTATTTCAGCTCACGCTCCAGCACTGGAATTATGTTACTGGAGGTAAAATAGTTCTGGAGGTTAGAAATAACTCCATGTAAACGACTTTTAATGCCATTGTGACTCTGAACTGCTGAGCAGACTTTCTCAGCCTGTTTCAGCTGCCCTGGTCCCTCAGTCACTGCCCTGAGCTTGATGAAGGACAGCCAGGTGCTGCTCTGACTGTTCACAGAGAAATGGGGGATCTCTGTTTTCTGGTGCTGTTACTAAAATGGTAAATTCTTGTGCAGATGGGGAGTGATCTCCGTGGCAAAGCTGAGGCAGCCTCGTGAGCAGGGTGTGATTAGTGAGGTGCTGGGTTTGAGAGGAGTGTGTTGTGTGCCATGGTTAGGGATACACTGAGGGTACAGAAATAAAATCAAAACTGGGGGTTTGTGTGATTTGCTGCCTTGGGCTGAAATGCTGAGTGAAGAGGTCAGGGA